ACTTGCTATCGTCCAACCCGTGTTAGGAATCACACGTTAAAAGGTAAGACCTCGTTAATCCTTACCTCGCACAAGTTTCGACTTCTGAGGGTTGTCGTTCGTAGGGGTGCGACAGCTGGTTAACGGAAAAACAGATTTAAAAAAAAACAGATTTAAACAATACGCTCAGAGCAATGGAAAAAATATGAATAGGTACCTAAAAATGAAAAAAAAAATCTCGAAAAACTCTACGATCCATAGGGAGACGTGGAAGTTGCTATTATGTTTTTATTCAACTCAGTCAACCAATTTCCAGGGCCGTAATTTAAAAGGGAATAATTCACACAATTATAATCAAATATTACCCAAACATCTCGAAATATAAAATTCAATTCAATTTCTCAGTATGGAGTAAACTTTGACGATACAAAAAATATAACAAAAAAGTACAGGTCCTTATTTAAAAATTCAAAGATAAGGGTGGCCCAAGTCAGATAACACCCTGTATGAAATATTCATGGACATATTCTGATAGCCCACATCAAGTGCCAATAGCAAAAAGTGGACAGATTGTCAATATGGCTGTGAATAAAGAAGATATAGGCAAATAAATAATTTGGGATTTTGATTTGATTTGATTTTTTGGTTATTTGGGTTTTTTTGGTTTTTCTCCAGAACCGGAGGAACTATATTTGATTCATGTACATCATTGAATAGCTCTCTAAAATACGCAATTCTGCCATATTTGAACCGACACTCTATCTCTTATCGTTTACGAGATCCCCATGTACAGAAACGAATTTGAATAGCCCTGTATATATATTCTTGGAATATATCCCCACGGTATATTTTGGAATATTCTATATGATGTATTACTGGAATTTTGAATTATCTTATGATAACGTATTTAAATAATTCAATATTATAAGAAACAAAAATAGTTGAAGATTTTAATCGAATGCATAACCTAATGTATATAACCCTGATAGTATAACCAGTTTTTGAACTCAACGCGAAGATTCTGGAGAATTGCTCTAGCAACTGTTGGAAATGACATAAAATTCGAATGGGCCAATAAATCAACCAATTGCATCAATAAATCGGTTTATTCTCATCCTATTTGTCTTTTAAATTATTCAATTACAAAGCGACAAATCCTGGCAACAGAGAAATGGGGAAGTGAAGTATTGGAGTAAACGTTTCTCATTGGTCAATTGAAGTGTAGCGTGAGACAGTCGAAGAAGCTCCGTGAAAGCGGCTGCCCCTTAACGCTTGGCACCTTTGCGTTGAAATCGACATTTGATTTAACATGGCGGTTGACATGGCAGGTTCGTATGTGTAATGCATGGTGCATTGGTGTTATTATCAAAGTATACTTTTGTCATGTTTAGTGTACCATTTATAGTTTGAAAATAGTTTGCTTTTGCATCTTCAAACAGTTGAGTTACATATTAAGAAAAGTAAGTAATGGATAAGAGCGCTGTTACGCCAGTAACGCAAAGTATGGAAATTGCCTTTAGAAAATGACAAAATTAGGTACTTTTTAGGTACCGAAGTCAAAAATTAGGTGCTCTGTAACTTACACCGCAACTCATTACTCAAAGTTGCGTTGCTATGCATTATGTGATGTTATCAACGCAATGAAAATAATAATGAAATAATGAATGTAAAGGGAACACTATTAGGTGCTAATTAAGTGCTAAACGGTGAGGAAAGTGAAATTTTCTAATTAATGAACAAAAGCTTCCATTTTCGCTAAACAACAAATTTAAGAATCAGGTCTCTCGAAAACGAGGACGAATGCTCTATCTGGTATAAACTAAGCGTGGTAATGAAGTGCTGATTAGGTGCTTGCAAGGAATTAAGACGAAAACGACCGAGAATAAGCGAAAAAAATTCGAGATACCTGATTTGAAAAAAAAATTAACAATATGCAATGAAGTCTTGAGATATGGGGCTCATGGACCTGAAAACCACCACGACTGATGTACTGAGTTTTTATAGTACGTTATTTAATGAATAAGGGCAAGAAATTGAAGTGCTAATTAGGTGCTCACTAGATAAATAATAGTAAACCTAGATTCCATAATGCCTATGGGGCTTATGGACCCGATAACCACCATGGACCTGATAACCACAATCATCTTCTGCTTGCTTCATCAAATTTTTTATGATCACTTTCAAAAGCGGTGATAATTTTGCGTTGTCAAACGTATATGTCGACCGCACGCTGAACACTGAGTCATGCGAAGAGAGGCGAGGGAATCGTTTGTTCAAGATACACCTATCGCTATGTATTAGAGTGAGGAAAAAGAGAAGCCAGACATACTGGCGCCGTTATGCATTACGTTACCAAGCGGATTACCCTCCCATAAGAAGTTATCACTTCAAAAAACTATGAAATTGTGGATATCTTGACTAGTGTAGAGTGTTATACGTGTTACATCAATAAAAAAAGTTGTTCAAAAACAAAGTCTACAATATACTATGAATACACAGTGTAGCTCATCAAAAGTGAAAGCACCCTTATAAAACATATATTTTTCAACTAATTAGTTTTTTTTTTATATACTAGAACATCAAATATATTGAATGAGTCTGACCTCCACACTGGACCACCCCATTGTCCAGAATTTTGTCGAAATCAAATTCAAATTACAATTATTAATACATTTTTTTTTGCTTTGAACTTTTTTTAGTGTTGAATAGATTTTGATTCGATGAAATTTTGGACAGTTATTTTTTTCAATAAGAAACACATTTCAACGTAATTTCGATGCAAACAATTCCAAAACTACGTGAATTTAGTGATGTGGTCAGTAAAAAAAATTGCTAATATTTTTTTTTTCGATATTTGACATTGAAAAATAGGGCTCTGAAAACCAATACTCATTCATAAAAATTGGTTCTAGTACTTTTCAAATATCTGCTTAATAAAAAAAATCCATACGTTTTATAGGGTAATTATATCCATTTCAAATGGGTCTCAAATCTATTAATGGATGGAATACGGAATGGTTGTTATATGCGAATAATGTGTGAGTATGTCGGAAGGATTCTGAATTAGATAAAATGAATATTTCAATATTTGTTTTGAAAATATCCGTTATCATGATTTAATTTGAGATGCAACGTTTATTTCTCGTCATTGATAATATCGAGATCAATAACATTATATAATTAAATATAGGCCACCCAGTAAGAATACAGGTCGCTTACCTTGTGCTGATATTGCCGCCAGAAGAATTATTTTCGTATGGCCTTAAGATTACCGTATTTGCAGAATTACAAAATTATTCCTTATTTGGAGAGACAACTCTTGAACTAAAATGTTATTGAACATATGTTACACCTTGAGTAATTTTACGAAGAAATCACTTTCAAAATTGTATTCTAATCTGTTAATGATGTCGGGTTTGATCTGAATTGGTAATCACAAATGAAACATGTAGATTGGATGAATCACATAGGTAAAAGATAGCTTGAAAAAACGCTAGTAGGATTGCCCAAAATTGGCAATGGCCAAATTGGGATAAATTCCGAAATTTACAATATGTCCCTTCTATGACTTTTCTATGAAAATTTACCATTTGAATAAATACCAGTGATTCAAATTTATGGAAATTATTGATTATGACATATCCTTGCAGAGTTTTTTAGCTACATAAACAAGCATTTAAACAACTGTTTTAATGGAACATACAGAATATAGAATATACAAACATCATCTTTGTAGATGAGAAAAAAATGAATATTGTTCTGACTGATTAGTAGGGATGAACTTCATTCAATCTTCAAATCTAAAGCAGAATATTTAACAAACGATTATTTCTAGATGATTTTTTTCAAGATCATACAATTCATAAGGAATTTCAGAACTTAGTCTCTTCGATGGATAGAAAGAAACGATCTTGAAGTATACATATATTTTTTGACTTGTAGTACCAGAGAGGTGAAATTGTGACAGTCAATCCAATTTTGTCTGTCGTTTTTTAAATAATACAATAGCAATTCAGTTATATTGGATCTTCTATCAGAATTTTATATCGTCCCTTTTTTTACCTTCGATATATAAAAATTGTAATGGGGAACTTTATACATGTGTAGAGAAGGTAAACTTTTTAGTTCGTCTCGATATGTTACTGCGTAAATTCGAAGTATTTTTCACAAAGAAAAGTATTGTATTTATAAGTAACTTGCATTAATTGATTTGATCTATCAAAAAAGAAAGCTAACAAATTATACAGATATTGTCTTAATGTTTCGGATTGGAAAACATTTAATAAAGCCTGCAGTTTTTTCCTTGGTTCATTTCAATCTCGAAATATCCTTGACATATTTTTTTCAGATTGTGGAAGGTGGAGAAATACCAAAAAAGGTCGAAAACAATTGCGTTCCTACACGAAAAAATTACTTTCGTTCAATATCCCATCAGAACTTCGGGTATTTGTTATTAGCCAGATTCACAATGTATTTGAATTATGTATGTAGTTATTTTCAATATTGATTTCGTTTTTAACATTCTGAGTTTTTACACAGAGTATGGGTCCAGAAGTTATCCATCAACATGTTTCACCTAGATAAGGTATTAGACCCACTTAGCAATTTATCGCTTCTGGTAGGAGTAAACCTAATTAACTATCTGTGGCTTAGTTTACTATGTCGACAAGAAATACCGGCTGATACATCTTTTGATTCTTTTCACCAAAAATCATAGTACTTACTTTATTTTCCAGGGACAACCAACATTTTTATTCATCATCGTTATTCGTCATAACTTTAAAAATACATCTTTTGATTCTTTTCACCAAAAATCATAGTACTTACTTTATTTTCCAAGGACAACCAACATTTTCATTCATCATCGTTATTCGTCATAACTTTAAATCGTTCAAAATCGTTTAATCGTTTAAAAGTTCGTCAACTTTTAAATTTATGAAATAAAGAACCCTAATTGATATAGTTATGCATCATAATATACGCTATTCAAGAAAATACATTCACAATATTTTTTTTTCCAGAAATAGGTAGTAGGCCATGTCGGCCGACTTTTCGAACGATGTATCCCGAATACAGGATGAAGATGTTCTTCGTAAAATGGTAATAATAATCAGAGTGAAAGGTAGAAATAATCCACATAAAATACAATTTTCAGTGGCAAGAAACAGAAGACTTTGGACTAAAAAAGGAAATAAGGTCGCACATGTACAAACTTAGGGAACAACGACTACGAGAATTTTATAACAACGGTGACATCACTTCCGAAATAAGGACTACAGTTGAAACTAATGGTAAACCAAGCAATACACAAACGCATACGGACTCTTTAGTTGATTACAGTTTCATGAGCTTGAAAGATAAAGAAACCAGAGATTCAGAATCACCAACGAGGGATATGAGTTACAAGGATACAGGTAATAGAAAGATTTAAGTCCTGAGTTAATTAATTACCATGTATTTATTTCAAAGTTGTTTATTCATTAGTAAACATTTCTGTCTTTTGGATTTGATAGAAAATAGCAACATTTTATAGTTAGTTTTTTGTCGAGTTACTTTCAATTGTTTGAAAAATCTGAATTATTTCATAGGTTCATTACGCATCAAAATGGAAGGCCTATATATAAATTATGAAACATAAATTATAGGAATAATTGAAGGATTTTTATACGAAACACTTCACAAAATCACAACACGTATGTTAATAAACAATATATTCTGCACACGTTTAAGTATTCAATGATTATTTGCTATCAGACACATCTGGTACCTGTTTTGAACACCTCATAATGAAGTGTAACTAATATGAAATGAAATAAAAGATAATATATTTTATCTAGAAATTCACATTACGCAGTAGAACATATTGACATCACACAAATTTATCAGATTAATAAGAAATAAGGCGTTTACCGTCAAGTATCCGATCACTTCCAGCATATATGCTCAGCATTTTTGAAATTGAACTCTTGCGAATCAATATACTTTGGATTTAGCTGTACTGTTATGAATATTATTCATCATATGAGATGAAACCAGATACCAAAAACGTTGGATTCATAATTCAATGCAAGACGGTGCTGTTTCAATCTTCCATAGTGGTACTCGGCTGGATCAAGCTGTAATATTTTGAACCATCTATCCTTAAAAGTGGGAAAGAAAGAAATAAAAAATGCATCTGATAAAGGATATGGAGGATTGAAATAACGTTGTCTGCTATCGCTCATTCATCTCAGAATATTTTATTTTTTTGCCCAAGCGGTCTGTTGTTGGTTATGAGCTCGTTTTTTATCTAATCAGCTCCTAGCACAGCAGTTGAAATGTCCATAATAGTAGTATGTTTTCAATGGTAAAAAAAACAAGTTTTTTTTCACTAATTACGTTGTTTCGAAAGTTTTGCCCGTTTCTTTGAGTCTACTTTAAACTGTAATATATCAGTGAATATTCCGTCAGCATAAAAATTGTGTGCTCGTAATTCGATGAAGTCGTCGTAGGCCGTTTTTGCCTGGTCCTGATTGGTGAAGATCCTACCGGTGATAAAGTTATCGAAGTGCTTGAAAAGATGGTAGTCGGTTGGCGAGAAGTTGGAGAGTTGATTTCCTTACAATAGGACTCTGCTGTGATGGTTTGGCACGGTTGCAGAAAGTTATATTGAATCATACCAGCCGCTGACTACCATACAGTAACCATGTCTTTTTCTGAAGTAAAACTTCTTTACGCGTGCTTGTCTTGGGAAGTTAGCTGGTGAATGTGTGAAGTGAGCGTTACGAAGTGTGTGATCGGGCGAGGCAATCGGAAGTTGAGAGGGGGGTATAATTTAGTGAAGATAGAAAAGGGGAGAGTTACGTTTCGTATAGGAGCAAGAGAGAGAGACAGAGAGAAAGAGAGGTGTGAACACACATTAACGGTCGAGTAGGTTCTGAAGAATTAGAAGAAAAGTATCATTTGTTGCCACTAATTTTAACAGGAGATTTCAATGTTAATTTCGCGTTAGATGAATCAGAACTACAAATGAGCAATAACCGAAGTGAGCTTACCACAAGTCATGGAACAAAAATCGATGCAGTTTTCTCTAGATTCCTATTTAATTTTCATTCGAAAACATATGTATCTTATTTCTCATAATATAAGCCTAATGTCTTGGTCTCACAATCAACCACAGTAGTTACTGATGTATCCGATAATGAAAATAATAAATAAAAATGAAAAATCTTTTCAAAAATGGTAATTTATCAATGCAAATCTATAATAAATTCAAATATTTGTAGGAAATTACTATATGTATATACATATGGATGTGATACATATAGGTTAAGTGGAAGAACAGTTTAGCAGTTATTTGCATAGCTGCGAAAATTGAACTTCGCTTTAACTCCATATAAGAAGTTGAAACTCAATACTGTAAAAAATGGTGGTTGAAGTAATAAAGACGTTCATTATTATTATTATATATAAAAATATAGGGTGACAATTTGAAAACTTACAATAGCTTTGTCTGATCAACCAAATGAAATATAAGAGTGTCTAAAAACAACTTCCATAATAGAGATTAGGAAACGAAATGATGTAACAGATAACTTGTTTTCACTTACTGGTAGTGTCACAAATGAAAAAAGGCATCAACCAAGATTACTAGACGGAGCAACGCAACTTTTGCAATGAATCATACATTATCGACTCGTCAGACAGCTACAGCAACCGGATTATCCCGTGAATATGCAAGGAAAGAACTCAAATTACATGAATTTCATCCATATAAACTGCAAATCCTTCAAGAACTTGATGACGATGACCCCGACAGAAGAATTGAATTTCGTGAAATTTTGACAGCTACAATTATCGCAGAACCTCGGCTTATCAAAAATATTTGCTTTAGAGACGAGTGCACTTTTTATTTAAATGAACACGCAAATAAACGAAATTTTCGTCACTGGAGTAACGATAACTCATGACTATTTAGATAAGAGCATACGCAATTCCCCCGAAAAGTTAATGCTTGGGCTGGTATATTAACAGATGCAATTATTGGTTCATTTTTTATAGAAGAAAATTCAATTGGTAAAATGTATGCTCTCATGCTAGAAAGATCTATAAAACGTCGGATAGTTCATTAATCAGAGAGACATAGACGCAATTTATCTTTAGAAGAAAATGTATTTATTATATTTTCAACAGGATGAGGCACCTCCTCATTATGTAGTTTCAGTTAGACAATGGTTAGATAATAATTATGCTAATCAATGAATTGAAAGGAGATATTCTATTTAATCGTCTCCTAGATCCCAGGACCTATGTCCTCTTGATTTCTTTTTCTGGGGTCACCTGAAATCTGTTGATTTCCAGATGCAACCTGACTCAATAGAGCAACTGAAGGAAAGAACAATCCAAGAATGCCGAGATATTTCCAGAGAAATATTTGCCAATGTACGTCAAGAGTTTGAAAATAGACTCTTTTATTGTCTTGAAAAGAATGAGAATCATTTTAAACATTTCTAATTATGTAGTTTCAGTTAGACAATGGTTAGATAATAATTATGCTAATCAATGAATTGAAAGGAGAGATTCTATTTAATCGTCTCCTAGATCCCAGGACCTATCTCCTCTTGATTTCTTTTTCTGGTGTCACCTAAAATCTGTTGATTTCAAGATGCAACCTGACTCAATAGAGCAACTGAAGGAGAGAATAATCCAAGAATGCCGAGCTATTTCCAGAGAAATATTTGCCAATGTACGTCAAGAGTTTGAAAATAGACTCTTTTATTGTCTTGAAAAGAATGAGAATCATTTTAAACATTTCTTGAATCAATAATAGACGATAAAATTTTAATTTAAAATAATATTGTATTATTCAATAAACCAAAACTTACTATATCGAATGTACCTTTGTAGGGTACTATTGAGGAGCATTTCTTAATAGGTTTAAGATAAAGTATCACAAGTGGGGGTTTGCCATTTATGAATATAAAGTTGGGATGGCTGGGGGCGAGGGTTAAGTGAAAACAAATCAGCTATTATATAATTTCGTTTCCGCCTCTCTATTACGGTAGTTGTTTTCAGCGATAATTTATTTGGATGCTCAGATAAAGCCATTGTATGTTTTCAAATTGTCATCCTGTATATATTATATATACTAAAGAAGGTTTAATTCAGTCGTGTGGTCTGGAGCACACTCGCTTTATTAAGTTTGCGTCTTTGGGTTCCACTTTTCATCACACGTGACGATCCGATCCAAAAAAAGGATCGTTTTAGTTACGCAAAAGCGATCGGTCAAATAGTTTTTTTTAACCTTACCAATAAGATTTCAACCATTAAAAACCGCATGGGAACTGACGCTCAGTTTTTCCACCATCCCACACACCGTTTGTGACGGGTTAGTCTCCACCATGGTGGCAAATACTCGTCCTGGTTAACTGAAGGTTGACCACTTCGGGGCTCATCCTCGGAACTAAAATCTCCGCAACGAAATTTTGCAAACTAACGTCGAACACCATCATTGGCAAATGCCTTGTTGAATTTTCGGAATGTTTCGGCAGCGCTTTGGTTCAATTTGAACTTGTAGAGAAAAATTCGCCGAAAATAGCTCAACGACATCATATTGCAATAAGCTGAAAAGGGGCAAAAAATGAAAAGGTGGAAAAAAATTAACTGCATTAATGAATAGAGTACTAAATTCTCTATCGATCAATATGTACCATGATACAGTAGAATAAATATTTATTGAGATATAGAGCTGAAAAACACATGATATTAAAACGGACAAAACTGAAGTAATCGTTTGCTGCACAATTTAAATATAATTTACAGATTTTACCATAGCTTTGGCTCATATCACTCGATACCAAAAGTGTGTGTAGTCACTTAATATAATAGAGTCAGATATATACAATGGACAAATCTAATTTTATCATTATTCTGGGAAGTATAGAAAACGGTATTTCGTCTGAAGAAGTTATGAAAACTGGTGGACTGCCTACTTCCATATTGAGATTTTTAATGACCCATAAAAATCCGGATGTGTTATAGTTCATCTGGAATAATTAAGATTATTTGATTGAGCACTTTCTTCGCATTCACATTTCACAATTTGATTGTCAGGATTCATAGATGGAACATGATGAAAAATGCTTTATTGTGAGGTTTTCAAAATCGGGACACATATTTCACTATACACACCGTATAGAAGTAAACACTCCACCATATTTGGGTCAAGATTCCCCACCTCAAATTTTATGCTCAGTCGACCTACGGTGCAACCGACTGAATTTGAAGCATTCACCAAGCGAGCCAAGTTGAGGCATTTGTGAAAAATTAGTGTCTAGTTTCAAAATGAACAAGTGTCAAGTTGTGGGTTGCTGTAATTTGCAGGGTGATGTTGGTATTAATTTTTTTCGATTTCCAATTGACGAAAAGAGGTATG